GGAGACTTTCCGGTCTAGAATTCTGCTTCTAATTTTTATCAAATTCTGGTATTTTTCTTGACTCTGGTTGGAAAGATTCCTCGTGAGGCTGTGGCGTTTTGATTAGTTGTACGAGCAACCAAATGAGATGATATTTTCAAAATCAAGCAAATACGGATAGAACAGAGTTATTTAGCAAGATTTTAGGTAAAAGTCGTTTGAAGATAAATGAACTATGGTAAACATTATACCGATTGAATTCTACAAGTAAATTCATTCTATTAGTTCCTATTTAATAACTGATAGTAATAATCGATAGACATCCAGAGAGATTATGCGTCAGAAAACGACATCTATAGCAAAAATTGATTGTAAGAAAGATTGAATATAAAACTCTTTCTATTAAGTAGTCAACATAATATCGAATATAAATTTTCTTCAAAATATTTATTATATGGAACGTCATAAGCAAACAAACAATTGCTTTAAACTTAATAATTTATAGAGAACTCTTGATTTATAATCAATTGGTTTAGATTGATTTAGACCCTTATTTATTTATCCTACACACAGGTTATTTATTTTAACCAATCATTAATTATTCACTACCACTTCTTTTGTCTCATGAGTCGATTATTATTAACTAATTAACAATAAAAAAAAAACAAAAACAAAATAATATACATTTATTATTTATTATTCTGAATCAATGTACAAGTATTTTCTGTAACTTAAGGTATATTAAATATAAAATCTGTGTTTTGAAGTTTCCTCTAATAGTTATTGTTTTTTATTTTTCTTATATAGCAATGTTAAATAATTATGTCATCAAAAGATTTTGTCGAAATCCGACTTGTATGCAAAACGGATTATCTCGATCCAAAATTAAAAATAAAACTATATGAAATTAGAAATAAATTAAGACAAATACTTCATATCGGTATTACTTTTAATGATAAAATACAATCATAATATGCCTATTATTTCAGGTCGAAAAAGATTTGTTTTAAAAAAAATACAACCATGGAATAGTGTAAAAGTTACATTTGACATTCCAAAAACAGCAGCTGATCAGTTACGTTTACTTGCTATTGAAGGGAATGTATGTCTCATTGAACTTGGTATACTTAGTGTAGAAATTGTTGGACAATCAAATATGATTGTAGTTAATAATAAGAATAATTCATCGACAACAACGAACAGTATGTTGATTTTATTTTTCTTTAACAAAAAAAATAAGCTTTTATTTTCTTAATTTCAGGTAAAAAATTAGCTTCAACAACTTCATTTAATTCAACTCCTATAAAACAATTTTTCGTTGAATACAAAATCTAATGAACATGATTCCTAAACGAGTAAAAAAAATTAAATATAATATTAACTAACAAAAAAAAAAGATTTTCTTGTTCTTTCTATTCAGTAATTAACAGTAATTGAATGAATATTCTTCATATATTTGAATGCATATATAAATCAATGAAAATAAAATTCTTATTTAAGAAAAAAACCAATTCTCATAAAAGCTAATTATTTCATATTTGTTTTGGAATTTCATAATCTCAATTTTCATTCCCTCCACCTTTTTTTTTTGATTTGATGATACTTGTACATATGTGTATAAAGGTTTGTTTCAAATGGTGTGTATAAGTGCCATATATTTATGCTATGATTCGTTTGAATTACTATTTTCCTTCTTTTCTTTTCTTCTTTTTTTTTGTATTTTAGTTTTTATATTCAATGCGACATCCTTCAATTTTGTTTTTCTTTCTTGGTTTGTGTGAATTTATTTGTTAAAAAATAATGATAATCGAATAATATTAACAATAATAAATGAATGTAACTCGAATCTATTGACCTAGACGATATAAATGATTTGCATTTAGTATTGATGAAAAAAAAAATGTTCGAAATACCTAAAGGGAATAAAATCAATGTCGTTTATTTTTGCGGTGAAGAATTTCATAAAGATTTCGATCGCAAGGGAAATATCTGATATTTATGTTCAATAGTTACTTAATCGAACGTACAATAAATGGAAAGATCTATGAATAAGATATTTTGATGAATAATCATCGTGTCGAGAATCAGAGTAATACATAATTTAAGAAATAATTAACAACATCATTGACTATAAGAATAATTGAAACATTTGCTAGACGTAGTGATATTTACAAAAAGAAAAATTCACTTGTCTAGAGAAGATTTCGAAGTATTTATCCGAAGGATTACTCTATCAAATAATGGTTACGGGATGCACTTGTTCAGATTCATATTAAAATGATTTAAAATATATACATTGTAAATCTACATATAGAGATTGCTTTTATATTCATTTAACATTGATTAATTCGTTATTGTGAAACACGATCTGCGACGAGTGTTAAAGTATAAGAGTAGAAATTTAGACATCACTTCCCAATCATAGTAGATTTAACCATGAAATTAAAATCTTCTGTGAGATTACTATGCAAGAAGATCGAATTTACGATACCTGCCTGTGAGGTTCTTTCCAAATTCATTACGACCTATTACAAATAACATCTTTCATCACGAACATTAGGAATCATAAAATAGAGCATAAGTTGCAGAATTCTATAATTTATAATATACGTAGATCCATCATGTTTCACATTTAAACCTCATAGGAATTGTGCTAATAACTTTTTTTTTAAATACTGATAAAGAAACTATTCATACACACGTGTCATCTATTGATACATATAAAGATGCAATAAATAAATATAAATCTTCATTCTAACCTATTTGATTATCAATTTGATCTTTTTTTTCCTCCTGAGATTAACTTATAAACTCAATAAATGAAAATATTTCATACAAAGGAAATTCTACATTACATTCTATAATCAATAAAATCATAAGTTTATATGACGAACCAAAAACAAAAGAAAGCACCGCTGCATGTTTATTGATATGAATAAAAAGAATATCGCAATCGAACATTATACACAATAAGCATATATAAACGTTTAATAAAGATGAGCATTTCATAATGTTAGTTTAAATGACGCAGGTGGAAAATTCAATGAATGGACGTTATTTTAGAATAGAAGTAGTTGTATACACATTGTTAATTATATAAGAATATTAATAACAGAAAAAAAAAGAAGGTTCACACAGTTTATTGTCAATTATATTTCTTCAACGTAATTAGCTGGAAATAAACCTGATCTTGAACCAATTCTACCCTGCCACCATTCCTCATGCATCTAAATACAAACATACAAAATTAATTTTCCATTATTGTCAAACGAAAAAAACAAAAACAATGCAATGTGTTCTTTTTTTTACCTTTTGAACATTTGTAATAATTTCATTTTCTTCAAAACCTAATTCATCATTTTCAGCTAAACAAAAAAAAAACATATTCGAATAAGTATTGTAAGAAAAAAGAAACAAATATTAATTTATTTACTTTTTTGATAACTATAACGAGCAATACATTTGATACCTTCATTATTATTATTATTATTTGATGATTGTTGTGATTGAGTAACTGCTATTGGTGATGGACTTCTTTGGAATGATTGTTGTTGATTATATTGATCATTATTATTATTACCATCAGCCCATTCATCATCATCATTTTTCGATGATGAAGATGATGTCTTTCGTTGTCGTAATGATGATGATACATTAACATTACCGGCAAATCGACCTGGTTCTTGTTGTTTTTCTTCATATGTTGTTGATTGTTGCGTTTCGAATTGATTACTAAAATTTTCATATATTGGTGGACTAGATACTGGTAATGATGGTGTTTGAAATTGAGGAGTAGGAGGTGGAGATGGTTCATGAATTGGTTGATTAAATGTTGTTGTTGATGGTGGTGCTGGTGATATTTCTTGTTGTCTAACTTTATCATGACCATTATTAGTTGATTGTTGTCTTTGTTGATCATGAACAGCTCGTTTATTTCTTTCTTCAGCAACACGTTTGACAGCTTCTTCTTCTTGTTCTTTTTTTATATTTTCAAATCTATTTGAGGCTTTTTTTTTTATAATAAGTTTATTGATTTGAAATTTTACCTTGCTCGAATATTACCAACACCAATACTACTAGTAACTGGTTGTGTAGATTTTTCAGTAACATGTTGTTCTAAAATAATAATGAAATATATATGAAAATTTTATTAGAAAATAATTGCTTTACCAGAAGGTGTTGTTGTTGTTGTTGTTGAAGTTGCTAATCGACTAGGTTCTTCTTTTTGAACACCATATTTACCACCAAAACCAACATTATAATCTAATATTGAGACAATATATACTTAAATCAAAATATAAATGTTAATTTATAAGTAACCTTTTTGTGATGAATGTTTTGGTACTGTTTCTCTATGAGAGAAGCCTACGGCTGATTTATCTTGTGCATTCGAATCAGTACCATATTTACCACCAAAACCTTTTGAAAAATCTGAAAGCAAAAATTTTTATTTCTTTTTTTCGTTGAAATGAAAATTTTCAAACCTGTTTGTGATGAATGTTTTGGTACTGTTTCTCTATGAGAAAAACCTACTGCTGATTTATCTTGTGCATTTGGATCAGTACCATATTTACCACCGAAACCTTTTGAAAAATCTGAAAGAGAAAAATTAAAGTTTTATTTTTCTTTTATTAAAATGAAAATTTTCAAACCTGTTTGTGATGGATGTTTTTCAACTTCTCCTTTATAATCGAAACCAACAGCAGATTTATCTTTTGCATGTTCATCAATTCCATATGCACCACCAAATCCTTTTTTACAATCTACGATAAATATAAATACACAGATGAATAATTATCAACATAAGAAAAAGAAATTAGTCATAGACTACGAAAATAACAATGATCAGTAATACAAACGAATATAAATAGTGAAAATGTTTCATAATGTAAAAAATTAAGCGATGTTTATTTCCTTTTTACTAATATGAAGATAGTAAAACATTTGCAATGTATATCATAAGATTATCGTTACAATAAAAAATATGAATTTGTACGTATATACAAAGATTAAATAGATTATCTACTACATGAAAATATTTTTAAATTAGTATTCTATGAATTAAATCAGCAATATAAATAATACTTTAAATATTCGATAAAGATCATACCAATCATTTGACATTTTATGAATTTATTACGATTTATATTATGTTACAAAATTTGATTAGTCTACAAGGATGTCTGAAATTTTTTGTTTTACTTTATCTTTTGTTTGTAAAAATAATTGTAATTAAATATCAAATATCAACCAATAGATTATTCTTGATATATCAAATTTATATAATGTTTAATAGTGATTATCAATAAGTATGAAGCAAATTATAATCTATCAAATCAAATTTTTCTAGAATATTTTATCAATCAACTAGTTTATTTAACTGTTTTCCTAAAATCAAATTATAGAAGCATTCTTACCCTTATTTTTGGGACTGAAACTAGAAAGATTCTGTATTTAGGATAATTGTTCGCTAGACGAACTTCATAACAATATTAAAAAAAAAAAGAAATTCTAATGTATTCATTTAGTTATTTCACGAAATTACCTACACAGTGTACATAAGAATATACAAATATAATCAATAGTAGCTCTTGATATCTTTATCATTTGTTAACATTTGGATAAGAATTTGTAGACAAACTTAATAATCATTGTTTTAATCATCAATTATATTAGAGCATAAGATTTATTCTTTTTCATTTAAATATTTCAAAGAAATCAGATAAATTAATTAAATAATACAGTTGATTTGTCGATATTTTATATTTTACTTCACTCAAAATTTATTCTAGAGAATTTGTTCAGTAAGCAAATCTATTAGCGAATAATTATCAAAACAATAAATATCATAGGTATACTACAAAATCATAAAAGATCACCCTTATATCTAATTTATTTTCATACAATAGCAAATCATCTGATCACAAAAATAAATTTCTTCAATAAAACTTTCATCACGTAACAAGCAGATCTCAGTAAGACTAGCAAAATCTCAAAAGGATTCATTGCCGAATTACTGGAATTTTGATCCGGAAATAGATCTAATGACTTTTAGAGTATTCTAAAAGTTTCAGCTGAAAAGAATGTTCTTTTGTCAAAATATTGAATTCCCAAAAAATAGACTTTTGTCACAAAAATCTAGTTCACTTGAAAATTCAATAACTTAACAAAGGAATAATCTGTTTAGCTGAAAATTTTGAAATATTCTAAAAATCATCAGGTCTATCTATAGACAAAATTTCGGATCAAAACTTCAGTAACTCGGCGATGAATCATTTTAGGCTTTTGTTAGTCGGGTATTCGTTTAGCAGCTGTTCCACTGTGAGTATATGATAACATTAATGTTATCATATACTCACAGTAGAACAACTGCTAAACGAATACCGCTAGTCTCATTGAGATGTACCTGTGCATCTCAGATGAGAGCAAATGGCGGATGTCACTTACGAGGGAACGACCCCAACTGATTCCGAGCTTTCGGCTTCATATTTTGGCTATAGATAGACCTCAATGAGGCTAAGAAAATTCTGGAAGCGTTCGTACCCATGGGCTGCTGGACCAAAGTTATAGCCGTTTTACTGAATTTTTAGCCTACGACACGGTATCCACAGTAAAGTTAAATGAAGGTATTTCGGTCTGATATTCTGTCCATAAACAGGTCTAATGATTTCTAGCATGTGCCAAAATTTTCAATCAAAACGGATGCATCCTTCTTGAGATATTCAATTTGCAGGACAGCTCCATTATTGTGACTTACCAGTTATAGGCATACATTTTTGAAAATTGAATATCTCAAGACGGAAGCATCCGTTTTGATTGAAAATTTTGGTACATGCTAGGAATCATTAGACCTGTTTATGGACAATACCAGACCGAAATACCTTCATTTAACTTTACTGTGGTTACCGTGTCGTAGGCTAAAAATTCAGTAAAACGGCTATAACTTTGGTCCAGCAGCCCATGGGCACGAGCGCTTCCAGGATTTTCTTAGTCTCACTGAGGTCTATCTATAGCCAAAATATGAAGCCGAAAGCTCGGAATCAGTTGGGGTCGTTCCCTCGTTAGTGTAATTTCCTCATTAGTATAAAATCAAGCTAGATTAAAAATTAGTATATTCTTTTGATTGTTACCTGTTTGTGAAGGATGTTTTTGAACATCAGCTCTGTATGAATAATCAGCTGCAGACTATACTCAAAAATAATATTTATAATTAATTAAATAATATAAAATAGAATTTTACCTTATCCATAACTTGATCTGTACCATATTTTCCTCCATAACCACGATTAGGATTTTTATCTTGATATACTTGTTTAACTGTATTATCAGCTGTTTTAGCTTTTTCTTGAAGAGATTTAAAATCAACATGATCTACTCGACCAGAACCAGGTACACTTGTTGAACCATAACGTTGAGATTTTTCATTTGTTTGATTCTGATAAAGAAAAAGATAATAAATCGAATATAATTTTTGTTGTTCTGAATAAGAAATAAATGAAAACATACTTCATAATTAATATCAGTTTCCCAATCATCATCTTTAGTATCAAATTTTGGTTTTGGTGCAGTTGGTTTAGCTACCGGTTTTTTCAAAGCTTCACGCCACGCCATTATTTCTTTCTTAGATTGTGTCTATTAAAAATGATTCATGTTTGACAGAAGATTCATCGACATATGAAAGGTTGAAAATTTTATCCAATCTCAAATTAGAAACATCATAAATATTATTTGATTGGATAAAATGAATGCAAGAAGAAAGCGACACATAATAATACGTGTATTTGTCTAAGGTAAAAATAAAAAAGAGAAGCTATTAAAATCAAATCATAAAAACATCGTCACCTTTTCTTTGTTTTTTTTCTCTTATTGTCAATCGATGTATTATTATCCGTTGAATTTTAGGACAATGTGTTCGAAGTTTGTACTGTATTACTATTTATATATATATTTTTTTAATCTTCTATTTTATTTTTATAGAGTTATAGCTAGTCATTGAATAGAACATGTAATGAAAATACAAAAATATATAGTTTTAATGACAGTTTCGATGGCTTGAAAAAGAATGAATTTATAATTTAGTTGTACAATGATTTAATCATCATTGTATTTTAATGAGATTTACTTTAATGTTCTTTGATACAGACTCGATTTTGTTTTTCAAAAATTTCATTTTTTAATTTTCTACAAAATAGTATATATTTTTTTTAGTAGTATAAACAACATCCATTTGTTGTTTGAAATGTATTTCGAACAAAGAATTGAAGATTAAAGAAATTTTCTTTCAATTTGAACTATTCGTTAATCAATGTTTCTCATCAATTATAGAAGGTAGCTCGTTCTCGTTTTCGAGGTTGTTCAGGAACGGTTCACCGAAAAATGATGAAGTTTTCAAAGCAGATAGATCATGATAAATAGAACAAAAGTTGCTATAGACTTAAAATTCTCAGATGCTTCTTTTAGGGAGATATAGGAGTTGCAAAGGTCAACAATCTCCCTCCTGGAAAACTCTATACTTCATTTTTTGGAGTACATGTGTTTTTTTTTTCTTTCAAAAATATTGTTCCTACAGCCTTGGAGAAACAAAATAAGTATACACTTCAATTCGACTACAGGACTCATAAAAAAAAAGATTTGAGTCCGATCGAATGTACCATGTATGGAAAAATTCCGTTTTTTCTTTGTTCAAAAACTAATTACGAGAAAAATGCAAAACAAACTTTTCTCTATGTATCAGAACTTTTTAATTAAAGTGATCGAAAATTAGCAGTGTTAGAGATTCATGATCCATCATGCTATCAGTACCTTTAGAAATTATCGTTAGGACAGTTTTGCATACACAAAAAAGTCATAGTGTGAGTTTTCTGTTAGGAATTTCGAAAGTTGGGTTTAATGAAAGTATTAAACAACAACGAAGAACCCTCATTTATATGGCATTTGATAGAGAACATTTCGAAGCTATACCAAAAATAGATAAAAGTTTGATTTTAATAGTCGGAAACAAGGATTCCCTCAACATCATTATTCTATTAATTGATTTTGTTGTGAATTAATAGACAAAATTTTTTAAAATCATGTCGAGTCTATATCGTATAGAAAGTCTTTTGTGATGTAGATCTTTAAAATAAATTTACTTTTATTTTCTTCTTCCATAGTAGAATAAGTAACACATGCTGTTTAATTTACTAGAGTACTTTATTAAACAACAGCTGTACTTTTGTGTTTGTTTTGACCATTGAAATGCTAATTGTCAAAACAGAATTAGAGAAACTATTAATAATTTTATACGAGACCGTCACAAAAGAATGTCCTTGAATTTAAAGTAAATGTTTACAAATTCGTTAGTAACAAGATTTTTGTATGTTTAAATCTCTCATTTTTTTTTTGAAATGTTTTCTGCTTTTTCTTAACTGTTTAAATGGATATTTGTATCAAATGATATATATATAGATTATTTCCTATAAAATTTTATTTCATAAGTTAATGTCATTTTCTTGACTTTTGTTATTAGTATTAAAAGTTTTATGTAAGTGAATGTATCTATTCAGATAATCAAAACAAAGAAAAAAGGTTTTGCTTGATTAACCAAGTACAACATGCTCGAGTAAGAATCAACCTTGAGTATTAAACCTTGTGTTTCTAATATCGTTTTCAAAACATAATGAGTCTCACTATTTTGCTGAAAACAACGATAGTTATGATTTTTATTGTAATCGAAAAAAAATCTAAACAGAATTTTTTAATATAAGTTTTCTTGTTTATCAATCATTGATTCAAGTAATAAACATAACAAACAAGGAGAATTTTAAAAACAGGATGCCTAGAAAAACTTGATTGTATTTAATGAATATTTTTTCTTTTTTGCAGATTGTAATATGCGCACGACGGATATTTTCGCGGCTTTTCTAAGCCAATTTTTTGCATACATTGTATGTATATATATATTTTTTTTTCTTTATTTTTTTTTTATTTCGATAAATACATTCATAGATGATTGCAGCATCTGAATCTTTATCATTAAGTAATTGTGCTAACCTTGGTTATGCATCAAGTTATTTAAAATGTTCAACTTGTAATGATTTAAAACAATTTAAATTAAGTGAATTAGAAAATTCATGTCAACAATGTTGTATAAATGATGATACTGAACAAGCTGAAGCAAAAGTTGTATAGAAAGATATTTAATATAAATTAAAGTTCAATGTTTGTTTTTTGTTTTTAGAAATATCATCGAGCTGTTCTTGAAGTATGTTCATGAAAATTAGGGCGCTATGCCCAAATTTCGGCGTTCGTTAGAAGCGGTCGCCCAGCTCAATTTCCATCATTCAGTGTTCAATATGTACGTGGTGCTGATCCAGTACTTAATCTATTTAATGAACAAGATGAACAAGTTGAATCAATGGGTATTGAAAAATGGGATACGGATACATTAACGGCATTCCTTGAAGAAAATTTAGTTCGTTAATTTATCTTGTTCATTATTTCTAGTTTAATTAATGATTTGTTTTTCATATTTGTTAAATGTTTTTTTTTCTTTTCAAATTATGTATTGAATATATTCTTTTTATTTTTTATGAACGAAAAACACTAAACCTCTAATATAGGCGTGATTTTCGTGATTGTTAAAATGAATATTTTTATACTATTTCGAAAAAAAAATTCATCTAACAAATTTGTCATACGAAACATTTTTTTAAACATATTTATGTGCTTTTTTTTT